CTTAGTTCCTTTTTGTAGACCTTGTTTCATCTAGCTGAACTATATGGTTCCAGAGCAGTAGCATTATCTTTTTCGACTAGTTGGTGGCTACAGTATTTAAGAACGCCAAGATATGCTCTTAAATCTCTCTTATGTACAACATCCAGTTTAGAGTAAAGCTCCGATCCCCAGACCCATGCACTACAATCCGACACTTTGGAAATGCAGACGTCATACAGCTACTTGTACGTTCGAAATCCAGACGACCACTTGCTAGATCAACCTGTGCATTAACGCCGCGGCATCCTTTGTTACAAACTTTAATAGCTTGACACTGGGATAATTCCATGATATCCTTGACTCGCGGTGCACTGTGTGTATCACGCTATTCAACAAGATTCTCCCTGGTTCTGGGAATGACGTCACAACCCGGGATTGCCGAAGACCATCGGGTTTTGCATCTTCGTTTCTAAGGGCGTTGCTATGGGATTTTTTGGGATACCAGAGGGTTTCAACGATTTTTTTTTTTTTTTTTTTTTTTTTTTGCATGAATAGGCTAGGCATACATTATTGAACGATATTCAAAGAAAAAACAATACACGATAATTACTTCACATACGCCCTTTAACTACTATGGTATTCTCGAAGGAACCGGTAACAACCATTTTGACACGACAGGTAACATGATTTGATAGCCCAATAGTTTCCCAGTTATACCTGAGTGCAACAAATTTGCGAACAAATATACTCTGTGTACTTTATCAAAGTGCTCTTTGGAAGTCAATCAAGCAGCTGAATGTGTCCATTCGCTCCTTGAGATGACCAGGAAGCACCTTTGTTAATGTCAATATGTGCTCTGTTGGTACTCTTTCCTCTTGAAATCCATTCTGCTCCTCAACTATGGATTTATTCTCTTCCAGGGATAATTTCAGCCTATAATTCAACACAAAGGATTACATTTTCCCCACACAATATAATAAAGAAATACCTTTATAGTTCGACGGAATTCACTTAACGTGTCGTACCTTTTTGGGTATAGGAGTGATGGTGGCCATATCAAATTTCTTTGGTCTAATGCTAGTTCCAAAACAATGGTCAAAGAGTGCATGCAGAAGTACCAAAGAAACGTTATTCATGAAAAGTCCATTTGGCATCGGGTCAATTTCACCATTTACAGCCTTTCCAGTCTTTGTGCTCCTAAGCTCCTTGCTAACTTCATTTGATGTTCTCTTCTTTTTCTTCTTCTGTTAATTGAAGTTGTATATCCATTTCTTTTGCTCTTAGTTTTTCTTGCAGAGGTCAAACACCCCTTCGCTCACATTAATCTTATAATTTTTTAAAATTTCATTCCTCCACTGGTTCATTACACAAGCATGATCAGTTGCTACATAACCGTGCTCATTGTACACTCCTATGTGTATTTAAATTTTAATTCTAGGTTTCAGTTTGTTAAGCTTGGACCAGAATATTTTAGGCTTATTCACGTCTTTCTCTAGTTTAAGTTTTCTGTATTGTAATAACGTTTTTCTTTCCGAAACGCACAATCAAAGCTTGGCCAATATTCTTTGAAGTTATCTATTAATTCCTGTTTTCCTAGGAAGGCGTTCTATCCTCTTTCGCCTTCCCAAAAATATCTGCGACTGTCGAACCCTTTTCCAGAGTTTTCTGTCTTTCATTCCATCATGGCTTTGCGGTCCTGTACGAATTTCTATTAACAGCAAAACATTGCTCCATCTATATAAGATATGTCTGCATTATTCCATTATACTGTCCATCTATTTCACTTTGATTTACATTTATATTTCCAATATCCCATACTACGAAATTTTGATTACCTCTAAACTCTGTGCGCATACTTCTTATCTTATTTTTTTTTACTGATTCGTTCACACACTGCATTTCGTTTACAGGTTCATCAGAAATCAAATATGTATTATTTGGTTCGCTCTCAGTACAACAGTCAAAATTGCATGCCCTCGTAGAATATGAGTTGACCTTACAGACTATACTAAATTGGCATTCTCTACGAAATGAACAACTAGTTTACTCTTAGTTCGTCAAAGTAAGGAATACCTGAGTAATTTCACGTATAATAATCCCTGGTCCCTAATAATCCCCTATTCGCAGTTGCAACATTTGTCCAGTTATTTAAGTTCGGAGTCACTCTTCTATTGACGATGCATTCACCAGCATCACGCAAATATGTTATGGAATGATCCTGTGAGTATTTACTTGGTGATCTACATGTCTCTCATTCAACTGCACAGCCCCATTGTCAGCATCTTCAAGTTCACCAATCCGTGCATTAAAGTCATCTGCAGCTATGGTGAGGTTGGGCTCCTGCAGATATGGAAAGTTCTACAATCTGTTTAAGAAATCCTCTGGTCTTCACTATGTGGGGAATTGGCAGAGGGCGAATAAACAGCTCGAAGAAGGACATCAAATTTAGTGACTGCGTGTAGGACAAGCAAAACTATAATCCTTTCGTGCTGGTTATTTACATGCATATTTTCAAAAGAAAGTAAAAATGTGTGATACAAGAACACCAACACCTCCAGATCAATAATTATTCTACATCCTTTACAGCCTCTGTCCTGACAATTTGTCTGAAAAACGGTAGTATAAAAAAAAATGCAAATCACGCTTATGATATTTTCATGATCAATATTTAGTACATGTATATTCTGTCAGTCCCAGTATTTGACACACAGACAAACTAAGATCAAGACAAAGCACCAAATTCAGTGTGAGTGTAATGTATTAAGAGATGTTGACCGCGTTGGACCTTAGTAAACCCTTCCTTCTCGCCTGTTCCCTGCAGCCGCCGTACCCGCCTGTATCCCTAACGCTCATGGGCCGCATGAGTCTCAACTCCGACCATCATTATATACTGAACATAAACTGCCAGTCGGAGAGGGTAAGCACCAAGCCCTGTGCTCATATGAATTTCGTACATGACTAAAGCTGTAATGTCACGTTTATTTTACTCATGGTGACATACTGACACATCAAGTTTCAGTTTCATTATCTGTGGGAATAAGAAAAAGAATTAATATTTTCACTCATGGACAGTGCTCCTACATTACCTTTTGTAAATAGTAGACGTGAACGCATAACATGAGTGCATATGGTCAGTCAACATTACGAATGTTTCTCTAGAAAGAAGTGAAAAAGGTGTAGCTTGACTGGGCTGGCTTCTTTGCAGGAACAATACCTGTTAACCGGAGCTCTGGTGAGGCCCGTTGGGTCGGGGTCGGTCCGCCTTCAGCTGCAACGCAATGGCAACGCCTACAAGGCTGTGGGCTCGCTTCTCTTGGACAGCTTGCAGGCGCAAGTTGAGGGATCGTTCACGTAGGTACTCAGTCAAGAACACTGCAACACGCATGGCAGATTTTTTTACTTTTGACCATGGGGATGATTATCAATTACGTTACATGTATAAACACAATGTAAGAATTAAATCAGTTGACGTCTTCCAATGTATTTTCTTCTGCCAGCAATATATTTGCATGAACAGGATCATATTTTTCAATAGCTTTCATGGCAATTCAAAATTTATTCAGAATATACAACTTAGTGACAAGCCACAAATAAACGGTGAAACCACAAAGTAGGTGTTTAATTCTTTATTTTTCGCATTGTGATTAGAAATTTGTTGTCTGTACGTAGCATTCACCTCTTTTCTCCTGTTGCCGTTCAACTGCCCTTCTCCTCTCGCAGTCGACTACAGTCGGGCGAGGACCTGGCGCTCACGCTTGCCACCTCGCTCCTCCCGGACCCCGAGGGATACACCCTCAGGTTCTCCCGTAAGAATGAGGCGGACCAGATGCAGTTCGCCGTTGTGTTCTCACAGGCAGGGACGTCTCCTGACTGGGTCTACTCCTACAGGTAGAGATAGGGAGAGGGAGAGAAAAAAAGAGAGGGAGGGAAGAAGAGGAAGAAAGAGACAGAGTGAAAGAAAAAAAGAGAGGGAGGGAGGAAGAGAGAAGAGGGGGGAGAGAGGGGAGGGGGACAGATAGAGGGAGGGAGGGGGGAGAGATTTAAAGATTTTAAAGATTTTAAAGTTTTAGTTTTAATTCCATTTGTTACAATGGATATTCTTTGCTGTGACATACTGTGTTTTATTTTGCCCAAATCTCCCCCTGTGTGCAAGCAGTGGCCGGGGTTACCACTCACTGGCCGGGCGTGGGATTGAACGCAGGTCCGCAAGATTGCTAGACCAGCACCTTACCGCTGCGCCAGCGGTAAGGAGAGAAAGAGATTTGAGAGAGGGAGGGGCAGACAGACAGAGAGAGGGATAGAATGAGAGAGAGAGCGAGGGAGAGAAGAAGAGGGGGGGGGAGGGATAGAATGAGATAGAGAAAGAGAGTAGAGAGACGGAGGGACAGAGAGAGAGAGTTAGAAAGGGAGGGAGGGAGAGAGAAACAGCGAGGGAGGGAAGGAGAGGGAGAGAGAGAGAAGAGAGAGAGAGAAGAGAGGAGGGAGAGGAAGAGGAGAGAGGGAGAGAGACAGAGGAGAGAGAGAGAAGAGAAGAGGGACGGAAAGAAAGAACGAGAAAGAGAGAAGGGGACGGAAAGAAAGAACGAGAAGAGAGAGAGGGGGGAAAGAAAGAACGAGAAAGAGGAGAGAGAGAGAGGAGGAGGAGAGGAAGGAGATAGATAGAGAAGAGAGAGATGGAGGAAGGGGAAGAGAGAGTGTGGGCACTAATGGAACGATAACTAGCATATCACACCGCCTTCTGCTCCAGAGTGTTCGTGAAACTGCAGAGGGACATCAAATCGAGACTCCGGATGATGAGGATCGAGGATCAATTCACGCGCCACCAATTTCAACATGTCGTCAAGAATTACAGTTTCTTTATTCTCGTCGTTCATAACAAGTTCGATGAGGTGTGTAGGCAAAGGTTTCTTCTTATCTGCATTTTTGTTTGTGTGCTTGTATATAGAGGTGTGTGTGTGTGTGTGTGTGTGTGTGTGTGTGTGTGTGTGTGTGTGTGTGTGTGTGTGTGTGGTGTGTTGTGTGTGTGTGTGTGTGTGTGTGTGTGTGTGTGTGTGTGTGTGTGTGTGTGTGTGTGTGTGTGTGTGTGTGTGTGTGTGTGTGTGTGTGTGTGTGTGTGTGTGTGTGTGTGTGTGTGTGTGTGTGTGTTGTGTGTGTTGTGTGTGTTTATGTGTATGTGTGTGTTTACTACAATCGGTACAGAAAATATAACCTGTACCGAAAGTATTACAGAAAATTATATTTTCATGTCTCGGGCAAGACACGGAAACTAAATACTTGGGACATACATGGGAGGTCAAAGTTCTACCTGGGAAGGGGTGCCTGAGTCAAGAGTGCCATGTTGCAGGGAATAACGGAATCTAATGCATGAGCGATATATATTTTCTCAATTTCGCTAGGTATAATTATCAGCATGATTAAGGGAGAGGGGGAGAGAGGTTCCTGGTTATATTTTCCCGCGCTTCAAAGGTCCAGTCATTGAGAAGCAAGCAATGGAAAGAGAGAATGAGCAAGGGGCAGAGATGACAGACCTTTCCACCTTATTAAAGGCAATGACTAGACCAGTGGTTCTTAACCCTTGGAGAGTCACGGACCCCTTTAAGGATCTGATGAAAACTTCCCCAGAAATATTTACTTGAACAGAACTTTGCATGCGATGTGCATGATGTGCTGCATTTACTGAGATTTGATTGTGTGTCAGATACACTAAGTATTATTAAACTTTAAAGTAAACGATAAAAAATCACTCATTTTATGCAAAAGCTATAACGAATATAAATGTCAATTTTTATCTGATCCTCATGGAGCCCCTGAAATCCATCCATGGACCTAGGATAAGAAGCCCTGGACGACGCCTTTGAGGCTTGGGTGCTTTACTAAGTGTTTCATAGCCATTGGAAATTCAGAGTTCAATTAATCGTTTTGCGCCAACTACGTCATATGACATATTGGTTTGTTCTGCTCTCTCTGGTGCTTCTTGTTCTGTGAGACTAGATTCGAACTTTGTCAAGAGAGTAAATGAATTTCTTTATCCCAGACTGACATCGAGATTGAGTTCCCGGACCTCTGGGCGCACCTCAAGGTCACGGGCACACTGGTCAAAGGCAAGGACTCGCACGTGGACCTCGTGGTGGCCACGCCGACAATCAAACACATCCTGGAGGGTCGACTTCTATTCAGTGAGTAATTTAGGCTTTCTGCTAAAATTAATACGTAGATAAGGAAATAGATAAATTGATGAATATGTAAATGTAATGCCACGACTTCTCCTGACAATTTTTTACATTCCAAATCTTGAAAACTAAAGTTCCTAAGGCTTTATTTTAAACCTAAACTTAAGCTCTAATTTCATTTTTCGTTTCCCTTTACATCTGCATTTTTATTTCTGTTTGCAGGCAGCGATGCTTGGAGCTCGGCCCACAGTGGTTCCCTCACTTACACGCAGCAGGGAAAGAAAGGCAGAGGGCAGCCATTCAAGCTGGAGGTGGAGGCTTTCAAGTGGACCAGCAACAGGCAGAAGTACACCTTTTACATGCAAAAAATGTTCACTGAGGTTAGTTTTATGTTGTTCGTTTTAGACCAGTTTAGTTATTATTGTTTTAATTATTTCCCATTTATTATTCCCCATATTCTGGATAGCAATGAGGATAATACTTAGCAGTTAACTATTAATATAACTAGTGAACGCCTGCTAAATTTTTTTGGATACCAAAGTTTTTTTTTTATTATATATCAAAGCCGTAAAAGATACGTGTTGTATCTTTTCTATATTCATAATATTATTTATTGCGAAAAAGCGCTTTTTTATGAAAGAATACAATCCTTTTTATTTGGACTTCTTCGACAACCGATAAAACGCAAAAATTCCTTTTTTTTATCTCTTCGAAAATTGCTTTCATGTCTCGGGCAAGACACGGAAACTAAATACTTGAGACATACATGGGAGGTCAGGCCGGGTTTGGTGTTCTACCTGGGCCAAGAGTGCCACCCTGCAAGGACCGCAGTCTAGTAAAACCTTCCTTAGATAGGGCTGGTTTCTGAGCCAGTGATCGTTTGAATGAAGGCTCCTGGTTGGTCAGTGCAGCACCGAGGAGCAAGGTAAATCTGCAGCTCTTCTTGTTAGTAACACCTATAGTACTACTATGTATTTCAGGGGAACTGACTAATCTTTTTTCACAAATTTCTTTCAAACGGCGTCAGATTAGTATGGCACTAAAGCACGGTCTGTTTCACTCTGTCCTAATATTAGAATTATAGTGCATTATCAAGTGTATTTACTACGTTTATTTTTTACCTTAAAACCGCAGTATACTACTACGAGAAGCATTCGACTATGTAAAGTGCGACGCAGTTTTGACATCTACAAATGCGCTACTTCTGCTTCCTCAGTTCCGACCCCTCCCCTTACTCCTCACTCACTCCCTCTTCCCTATCTTTTCACTCTGCCCGACCCTTCCTCTCTCTCCCCTTCTCTTTTACATATATATATATATATATATATATATATATATATATATATATATA